ATTCAAAATTACCTATAATAGTAAGAAAATCTAGAACTTTAAATATAAACATTTTCATTTATAAATTAATAGTGAACTAAATTTCATAGATTTTAAGATTCTATAAGTAATTTTTTTGATACTATGCAAAGAATGTAATTTCATTATCTACAACTGTTAAAAGATCAAAAACTGCAATATTAAGGGGACTGGGGCAGTAGTAGATATACCTAGAATATGCTTGAATTTCTAGGATATTCTATCATTGTTATTTATTTAGATTAATCTTGTATTTATATATTATAAATATGTTTATAATTTATAAAATTTTCTAAAAAAATTCTAATACTCCTAAATATTCTATTTTTTAATATCTAAATTTTTTTTTATTAATTATAAACTTCTATTTGATCGATTAGATTAATAAATAGAAAAATATGGCAATGCTATATTATAAAAACAAAATAATACAGGTAGACACAAATACTAGTGCATGACTAAATAATTAATAATAATAGAAAACAAGTACTCTAAGTGCCCTCACAGTACAATATAAAAATCTTTATTCAACATACAAAAAATATATGCTAATTATGTATATGTGTATGTGTATATATATGATTGGAGGGCTCTCCTACACATGAGTGTACTCCCATGATTTTATTAATGGCATATTCTTATCAATGATATATATTTTGGTTTCAATAATCTAAATTCAAGAGAGTTTATTACTATTTTCCCAATGTATAATTTTTTAGTAAAAAAATATAATTATTTAAAAATAATTTAAGTTAGAATTTTATTCTTAGATTTGAAATTTAATATTTTATTAAAAATATTAAATCTATTATGTAATAATTACAATTCTGCCATCTCAAACACTACACAATTAAATGCTAAAACAATATTAAAGAAAATTTACAATAAATAGACAAAAAATAATCTCTAATAATTAGTTCTTTAGTATGGGATTCTCTCTATATAATTAGTCCTTTCCTTCTACTAATTAATTGATTATTTTTAAGAGTTGAAAATTTGCTAAGTTATGTTATGTTAGTGCTCACATTGTAAATGGGGTATATCTAAAAGGAGCTAATCCATTAGTCCCTTTATATTTTTTCTTTAAAGTAAAAATTTCTGTATGGCCTTTTTAGGCTTATGCAAAAGTTTGTGTATAATTGAATTTTGTTCAAAGATTATTTAGTTTAAGAGTAAATTATTTCTCATCACTTAGCTTGGTACTATAAATCACTAAAGTCAAGGTACTTACCAAAGATAGATTTTCTTAAGGAATTTACTAAATATTAAACATTGCAGGAAGCCTTTTCTCCAAATGCATTCTCCTGTTGTAACCTTTTTAAAGAGTGTTTGTGGTGTCTAAAGAGTATTTAGCAAGTTTATAAAGCTTGAAGTGCATATTAATTACAACCATGTGAAAGTAAGAGCTTTTCAACTTCATAGTAACAACTATGTGGAGGTAAGAATTTTTCAACTTTATTATATTATCGAGAGAAAATTGTCTAGTATTTTTAGAACTTGGAAGATAACTTTTTCAATAAATAAACAATATGACTGCTTTGGCCATCTACAAAATTTGGTTACGAAGATAAAAATAAAAATAATAGCTATAGAAACTCAAGATAAAATCAAATATGGACAAATTTACAAAAAACCCATAGATGCAGGAGTAGATATTGTGAGTTGACAGACCACAAAAGATCATAAATATATTATTGATACAAAAACAACCACAAACAAATCAAATTGTGCTAATGTGAAGCTCAATATGTTAATTAAGGAATGCTAGTTTATACGAATCTACCTACAAGCTGGAAATTTATAATAAAAAATAAAATTCTAAAGCGATTATATACTGCATTATCCAATCTAAACCAAACATTCGATTTAAGAACACAAGAGTGTGAGCAATCAACTATTGTCTTCCCTCAGTAGCAGTCTTCATGCTGGAATTATTCAATCAGAACCTCGAAAACCATCAGTTCACAATAGACCATGATCACGCAACGCAGTGTGAAGGCATTGGTTATACCTGGCTCGGATCGGCTGGGGCGTCTAAAGGGAGGATTCGAAGGTGGCGGAACATAAGCCGCCTCCTCTTCTTCCTTGTCCTGGAAATTTAGCTCCGCCCTGTCGAAAAAATCCTCGTCCATGGTCAAGTGCTGGGGATCGCGAAACTCGGGTGGCAGCGGCCTCGGCATCGCCGACGAAGTTCTCGGGATGGGCGTGATGCTCACCCGGATGAAATGCGTCACTTGCAATACTCTCAACACCTCCGGCTTGGATGATCCTCCGCTGGTGCTCGGGCCGATCTTGACGGCGAGAACATCCACCCGGGATCGATCGGCGAGTCTCACCTTGCTCTCGAAATCACACCCCGCGGGGCCGTGGACGTGGATCGTGTGCCGGAACAAAAACCCATACTTGTGCCTCAAATCCGGGAGGAGCTCCGCTCGAGCTTGCAACGAGCACGCTCCACACACCCGAGGCTTCGTGCTCTTGAAAACACCGATTGTGTCGTTCACGATCCTCGTCTCAAACTTATACAAGCTCCTCACTTGCATGCAAAAGTCCACCTTGCTGCTCAAATCGCCAAACCTGATGATCCTTCCCTCGAGATCGCGGCCTTGCAAGATCTCATCGTCCTCGCCATCCCTCTCTTTCTCCACCGACACCACCGAGCAAGGCTTGTTGGCATCGCCGCCATCGCCGTTTGGGTCCGGCTCGCTGTAGCAAACCACCGTGAACTTGTGCTGCTTGGAGAAGATCGAGGGCGGCAGCGCTACGTCCTTGCTGCTGCTGATGGAAATGTTCGTGGAGCCGCGGCAAATCTCGTCGGGTGGCGCGAGCGGCCACGACTGGCCTCGGACCTCCTGGGCGCCCGCGAGCTTGCGAGGAACATCGGGTACCTGGGTGAAATGCAAGAAATCCGCGTAGGGGGCGATCGCCGGGTCGCTGGGTCCCGGTGGATCGAGCCGGAGAGGCGCTGGGAGGAGCCCGGGGGCGATTTGCACCGAGAAATCGTCCTCTTCTTCCTCGTCCTCGGACTCATGCTCCTCCGCGGGCTCGCTTCGTGACACCACCGGCCTCGGCAGCAATGCCTTCTTCTTGGGCATCGCTGGAATCCTGTGCGATTGATCGATCTCTCACCCGCGCCAAGGAGATCGATCCACTGCGACTGATCTACCGATCCACCACCGCGCATAGGCCGAACGATCGATCGAGAATGGTCCAGGTCGAAAGGGCGTCATTCGAATTTCCAAAGCCCTAATAACCCGCGAAGAAGCCAATGACGTGGAGAGCTGACGCAGAAAATCCGACCGGCGTGGCAGGCAATCTCACCCTACACCTCAGCACACATACCGGACAACGCCACGTAAGGCGCGGAGTCACGTGGCAAGATCTCCGCCATTGCTTTTGCCGCCTGGGCCCCTCGATCGACGTCGCTGCTCGTTCTACACGATCCAACGAGGGCTCCCCAGGAGCTCGCACTGGGGAGATAGGGCATGCTTTTGACGAGCTCCTCGGCGTCCTTGATCCGGCCCGCCCGCCCTAGCGCGTCCGCCATAGCCGAGAAGTGATCCATCGACGGCTCTAGGGAGTAATCCGCGATCATCGACACAAAGTAGTGCCAGGCCTCGTCCACAGAGCCAATGTGGCTACATGCCGCCAGGATCGTCTTGAAGAAGAGCTCGTCCGGCTTGATCCCATCCTGATTCATCGCGCAATAGAGATTCCTCGCCGCGGCGGCGCGCCCATTCTGGGCATATGCCGCGACCATCGCGCTCCAGGAAGCCACCCCTCGGTCGGGCATCTCATCAAAGATTCTCTGGGCGTCATAAAGATGACCGTTGTGGGTATATGCCATGAGCATCACCGTCCACGAAACGGCATTGCGGTCGGGCATCTCAGCGAAAACCTCCACTGCCTTGGAGAGATGCCCTCCATGGGAATATGCCGCCAGCATGGTGGTCCAGGATATCACGCTCCAAACCGGCATCTTAGCGAGGACATTCCTGGCATCTGCCAATTGTTCCTTCTGGGCAAACACGGCCTCCATAAGACACCAAGATACCTCGTTCTTCTCGGGCATGGTATCGAACGTAGCTTTTGCGCCGTCGATATCCCCGCTGATGGCAAGGGCAGTCATCATGGCCGTCCACGAGACGACGTTGCGGTCGGGCATCATCTCAAACACGGCCCTGGCGTGGTCAAGATGCCCACACTGGGAATATGCGCCAATCATGGCCGTCCACGAGACAACGTTTTGCTGTGGCATCCTATGGTAGAGATCTCTCGTAGAATCCAGCCGTCCATTCTCCGCGAATCCTGACAGCAGCGCGTTCCACGTCACAGAGTTTTTCTCTCGCATGGTATCAAACAAAAACTTCGCCTCATCGCAATGCCCGTTCTGGGCATTTGCAGAAATCATCGCGTTCCACGAGATCACGTCTCGGTCGTTAACAGCATCAAATAAAACACGCGCTTCCTCTATCTGACCCTTTTCAGAAAAACCCGTCAGCATTGCCGTACGCGAGACAACGTTATGTTGGGGCATAGAATCAAACACGGCCTTAGCTTTGGATAGATGCCCGGTTTGGGCATATACCGTGACCATGGCCGTCCACGTCACTACCGTACGCTCGGGCATAGAATCAAACATGAACTTGGCATCGGCCAAATGGCCGCTTTGTGAGATAGATTGGAACGCTGATGTCCAGCAAACGACGTTCCACTCCGGCATCTTTTCAAACATGGCCTTTGCAGCTGAATGATACCCATTCTGGGTATATGCCGATAGCAAGATTCCCCACGAGAACACGTTCCTGGGCTGGAGATTATCAAAAACACCGCGAGCGTTTTCGAGGTTGCCGGATCGCCCGAGCTGCTGGATGACAAGATTGGAAGAGTAGGTGTTGGAAGAATCAACAGGGAGCTGCTTGATCGATCTCGATCTTGAACTTTGAATCGATCTGACACTAGCTCCGCTTGCAAAACCCATAGATCCCCAAAAGGTCACATTCTAAGTTGTATCATCAGAAACAAATAGTCTTCTTTATGTGGAGAGAAGCCATGTTTCTCCATGGATGAAATCTGTGCCTAGGAATGGTTGTGCCTCCTCGAAAGTGAGGGTTCTTGCCCATGCCACTCGCTGGCTCGTCTTTGCTCCAGGCCCGCTACACTCGTACTGCGCGAAGAACACAGTCCTATGGAGCGAGAGATGGAATTTTCAATGCGAAGTTGGAAGAAATGCAAAACTCTACCTGTTTCGTTCTGGGTGATTCCAGTTTTGCCACCCTTGAGGAGCTATGAGCGCGTCCATGTAGGTGTACGAGTAGACCACCCTGGATCGATCTCCCCATGCACGTCCCAGGTAAATTCTTCCGGATCCAGTGATGCTGCAATTCACGAATGAAAATCCCGAGTTCATGTTGCGAATGGTCCTCTTTTGTGCAGTGATCGCGCCTGTTTTGTTGGCGATCGAGTAAAGATGGCAATCCTGCAAAGATTGTGATCTTTTGATGGAGAGTTTGGTTTTTACGTACTTTGTAGAGGGATCTTCCATAGCCAAAGATGAAATCCACGCTTCCTTGCACGAAACATCGCTTGAAGTAATGCCGGCCCTTGTGATCATAGAGAGTGTCTTGGCCGCCATGGAAGTTGCAATCGTAGAAGGCCGCCATGTCCGCGCTGATTCGCAATGCCACGGCTTGCTTCCCGGTCTCCCCATGGATGTGAGCAATTGCTTCATTCTAGTAATGATTTCTTTGAGATTATTTTGCGAGAACTTCTCAAAGATTTTTAGCTAGAGCAAACCTGGAATGTGATGTTCTTGGCGATGAAGAACCTCGAGTTGATGGAAATGGTGGCGCTGTTATATGTCTTGAGTAGATTCGTGCCATTTCTATCCGAAGCTGTGGAGTTCCAAGTGATTATCGTGAGTGAGCTCCCATCTCCTTGGAGTGTTACAAACGGTTTGGATTTTGGAATGGCAATCTTTTCCCTGGCTCAAGGTGAGAACCTTTTCGATCCAACAGAGAGACTAGATTTCTTTTTCTTTTTACCTGTAGACTCCCGCTTTGATCCGCACGATCACTCTTTGCTGGTTTTGTTCCGGAATGGAGTCGATTGCCTCGGCAATGGAGCTAAAATTCCCAAATCCATCCCTTGCCACCACAATCACGCTCTGGTTTCTCTCCGCTTCCACTAAGCTCTCGATCAAATGATGATGAACACGCATCCCAGCTGACCTCGTCGATTTTCTGCCAATGCGATCGATCCATGCCTTGAATTCGCGCTGCTCGTCCTCACTGGAAACAATCGCAAGAATCATCCACAGCGCGATCAAGAGCAGCAGCAGAGCTTTCATTCTCCAATTCCAGCGCTCTAATTCTGGTTCCGGACGACGCGATCGTGCACGAAGAATTTGTCCCAGCGACCAAGAAATTCATGGAAAGAGCGAAAGGAAAGTGTTCGTGCCTCATATTAAAGTGATGATCACGAGCTCCGCTGTGTGTGTGATCGGTTGACTCGAGCTTTATGAGAGTTACCATAACGGTAAAAAAAACAATTGTTTTTACCCTTTTTTCCAGCCAGAAGAGGGGAGTTCGATTCCCGCCAAGGACATATATAGTTAGTTAGTTTCGAACCCGGGCGTTATTTGCCGCCCTAGAACGCTGCTTGTTTAGGGCAAGAAGGAAGGCTTGGTTTCTTGGCGCGATGGATCCCAAGGCGCTGCTGGACGAGCTCATGGGCAAGGACCGGGATTTGCCGCTGGGCCAGAAGCGGCAGAGCCGCTTGCGCTTCGATGATGCCCAGGTGTGATTTTTGCTTAGGGTTTGGATTTCGGGGCGAATGGATGAGAAATTCTGGCGCATTCTTCTTTTTCTTGCAGGTCTGCCACTATCATCTGGTTTCTTTCTGCCCGCACGATCTTTTCCCCAATACCAAGAGTGATTTGGGGCCGTGCGGGAAGGTTCACGACGATGCGCTGCGCGAGCCATTCCGGAAATCGAACAAAGTGGCTCAGTACGAGATGGAGTTCTTGAGGTATCTCGAGCGCCTCATCTCCGATCTCGAAAGGTTTGTCTTTTCTTTTCGTTGTTTTGAAGGAAGTGTTGAAAATTGTTGCCTGGCGCTACAGGAAGATACGAAGATGTTATGAGAGGTTGGAGAAGGAAGTTCCCGTTATGGAACAGAACAAAGGTGGAACAGAGAAAATCAGTGCAATTTCGTTGGAAGTCCAGGCTCTTCTCAAAAGGGCCGAGAAAGAGGGAGAAGAGGGTATGGTCGATCAGGCGCAAGCTACCATGGAAAAGGTAAAAGAAAGTTCTTTCCTTCGTGGAATGCAGCTCCCTACTGTTTGAGGTCTGATAGGCTCTTTCTTCTGATTGTGCTAATTAAGGTCCCGTAATCTGCATGCCAGGGTAGTTCCTCTTCATTTGTAGAGGAAGTCTAAAACTTCTAAGCCCGTAGAAGGTATTGATCTGGGTTTTCTATTGACCCGAGATTGCTGATCTTGATCTTTCTGACACCAGGCATGATTTTTTAGCTACAGCAGCTAACTGATTGCTTGAGGTACCTATGTTGTGATCATTAAGCTTGTAGTTTGTTTCAGGCGATCTTGTCCCTCGTTGAACCCTCTGGTCTGTTTATTGTCGTTTGTAGCTAGCCGTATGACTTCGCCTCTGGTATTGTATCTGAATTTTTCTTGCTGCTCGCAGGTTGAAATATTGAATAGGGAGAAGGAGTTGATTATGCGTGCAATTATGCCAGAGTACGGAACTATTTTAGAGAAAGAAAAAAGAATGCAAGTATGTGAAATATGTGGTGCAATGCAGGCCTCAACAGACACTGAAAAGAGACTTGCAAGCCATTTGGAGGGCAGGCAGCATGTGGTAACTGATTTTTCTTTGTTTTCCTCCCCGCAATTTTTGTGGTTGCTAGAACGTTCGGCTAATATCGTCACTCGTTCTTGTTCGCAGGGGTATCTGAAAATAAGAAACACTCTGGAGGAGTTAAGGAGGAAACGTGACGAAGAGCTCGAGGCCAAAAAGAAAGAAAGGATGCAAGAGAGCTCTGTCGAAGAGAAGCTGGACTTGAAAGACTCTCCCACTCAAAAGGTAAAAGTTCCATTGGTGAATATCTTTCTCCCCTCTGACTCCGCGTATGCTGCATTTCACCTGCAGAATGGTGCATACCAGGGTGGCAAAGGCAACGAGTGGAGGTAACTATTGACTGTTTTCCACCTTGTTGTCGAAAATGCGCTGACAGAGATGGTCTGTCGTGTTTTCAGGTCTGATAAGTACAAGAGACAGAACAGTGACCGAAGGCACCACGGGGGATTTAACAGGAACAGGGGTCACCACGGCGACCGGGAGAGGAACAGGGACGGTGACAGGCACCGCAGTAGAGAGTGGAGGAGTGAATCGAGGAAGAGGAGCAGGAGCAGGAGTAAAGAGCGCAGCAGGGAACGCAGTTAGCTGATGGTTGATCATCAGCACCAACAAGAAGAAGTCGAAGAACCAAGAACCCGATGGAAGCGTTTGTGTGCGAAGTGTATGAGCTCCCAGAGGAAAGAAAGGTTTTGCTGCAAAGCAAGCACAGCCTCGAGGATGCCAGAGAGAAGATTTCCCTTTTGCAAGTTTTAGTTTGGCTGCTACTTACTGTGGATGGTTTCGGGGCTATAGCTAGATTATACTTTGGGGGAAGCCGGGTGACAAAATAAAAGAGATATCTTCCTTGGAGCCAGGCTTTGGATCCAGCTATGTCCCACCCAGATAAAGAGGTTTTGTCACCACTTTCTTCAAAGGTTTCTCTTCCATCACGTATAACACTAGAGGAAAAAGGTGCTCCTTCGTTTTCTTGTTTGCTGTCTTGTCCCAGCATGGGCGTTTGCTTTTTGTTTGTCTCGCATTTGGATCATGGAGTGGGGACAAAACAACTGGGCGATTGATCGATTGCTAGTGTTCGCCTCTTCGACTATCGCGAGTTGTTTCCTTTTAGCTTTTTGGAACCATGGAACCAACATTCTTAGATTTTTCACTTGAAGATCGCTGCCCAATTGTTTAGAGGAGGAAAAGGAAATAAAAAACTTTGGCCTGCTCTGCATGGCCAACAACGTTGTTCCCCAAGCAAAGCCAACCTGAAAAGAAAGCGCGCTCCTCTTACAGCACATAGTATAATGTCTGGCTGGTGGCAACACAAAAAAATGGGATCGGTCAAATCGGACCCGAAATAATATCGCAAAGTTGACAAGCGAACCAAAGATAAGATCACTTCGGTCCATGCTTTTTCAGCTTCCTCTCACGAAGTGATAGAAAGGATTGGAGCGATCAAACTTCGAATCAAATCCGCGGAAAAGAGACAAGATTCGCCCTTGAACCGCTAGCTACGATTGTCACTCAAAAGTGGCACAGCCCGTCCCAGGCATCGCATTCGCATTGCAATGCAAGCAAGTAACATCGAAAAGTGACCCCAAAATCTTCATAAATGAACCCAGTTGACTTTGGCAGCCACGTCCGTACGAAAGGGAGGGCTGCGTTACGTGGGGTGACGACGGGGGTGGCGGGGAGAGATGGATTCTGTTTCGGAATCGCCGACGGATTCGGAATGCGTGCATGGCTGTGATCTCGTCCTGGCACATGGGCTGTCTCAGGCCTCGGAATCTGGGGCATTTGTTTTCATGCAGCTGTGGAACACAAGGCCGAAGATCTCTGTGCACACACGCCTTGGGATCACACCGTCTTTCTCTCTTTTCAAACTCTGAGCCCATGCAACCATGGTTCTTGTTGGAATATTTGCTTGAGCTTGCCGCTTTTAAAAACGAGATCATGATCCATCGGACCATGCACCAAACGGGAAAACTTGCATGGATCAATCGATGTTTTCACGGAGCTCGTTCACCCCAACAACGATATGCATACATTACCAAAGCTAAAAGCAGATCTTGACGTTCATAGGCTGCCAGTATAGCACATAGCATCCTTTGCGTGGAGGTGGTGGCATTATATAATCCCGCACATGAAATATCGTCAGGCAAGGCAACAGCGTTAGAACTGTACTTGGAGAGATCCTCTTTGCAGTAATTACAAGTGTCACGGAGAAGTGGAGTTTCTTGCTGCTGCTAGATTCCTGGCCGCAAAATGTGTGCGTTTACAAACCTGATTGAGAGCTTTGGGGATGGAGAGGAGGTGACGATCATGATAACTTAAGCATTTCTTTGTGTTCCATCCAATCCTCGGCTGCTGCAACAAAAGCTCATCATAGTGAGCTATATTGGCATCCAAGAAAGAACAAAAAACATACTCCACTCTATTCAAACAAAAGAGAGCCCAGCAGCAGCAGCACTGCAACTAAGTACTGTCGCTCCTATAGAATTGAAGGCAACGATAGCTCTCTTGAAGCTATACCACTTTTGATAGCTCAGTTGCTTGCACCAACATCTGAAAGAGAAAGCTCTCCGGGACACTTTGCCCTAAGAAACAAAGAGCAGATGGACGGCCGGATGAATGCGGCCGGCCCGACAAGGAACAAATGACCACCGAAATGGACAGGAGACTGGAGTAAAGCTGGTAAGATTTTAGGAGGAGGCGGGTATATTTCTACTGTAGAAACTGTAGCTGTCGACGCCGAACTCGATCATACACACTATTTGGAAGCCTCTACATAGGTCCTGACAAGTGCAATTAAGTTCTTTTCAGAAAAAAAAGAGAGACTTGAAAAAGAAACTCAAGACTGTGGCAGTCAAGGTAAGTGGAAAGTAAAGGCTCCTTCCCTTCTGTTGGGCATTTGGGCATTTTGGTCTGCGTTGAAAACTCCCTTAGACCTCTGCGTTTAAAGAAAAAAAAGTGGAAGAATTGCCACTGCCGTACACACAAGCGGGGTTAAAAACAAATGCCCAGTCGTGGCATTTTCAGGCGCACGCACACACACGACAGGAGAACTGGCAGAGCAGAGAGACAAGACAGTGAAGAGGCATTTTGCGGGACCCTTGGACATGTGCCGTGCCATTGGCCCTTACACATCCATTGTCCGTCAACTTTAGCTACGAGGTTAAAATAGTTAAAGTTTGCACCTTGTTTGAGATGTTCTCTGAATCTTACCTGGAGATAAGACGTGGATTTTTGTAATAAACAAAATCCCCCGATTCTCAAGCTTGGGACTAGTATATAGTTGTAGTCCCTCTTGCTGCTTTGAACACAATAGTCTTGCTCTCTTTGCTCTCTTTGCAGTGTGCCAGTTTGTTTTCTTCGCTGTTGGGTGGTGGTATTTTTTTGGAGAAGGGCGAGCGAAGAGAAAGAATGAAAAGAAAGTTTTTTCTTTCTTTTAAACAAATGGTAGCTCTGCTGGTTTGATGCTGGCTCTGCCGCTGCTGCTGCTGCTGCTCCTGCTGCTCCTGCTGCTCCAGCCTCTGTTTCTTGTTGTAAGGAAGAAGAAAGAAAGCAAGAAGGTAAAGAAAGAGTGTTGAAAAAAGAAAGAGGAGAGTTAGAGGAACTCAGTTTCTTCTAACGAGATTTGTTTTTTCTTTCTGCCAGTGGAACCACGGCTTCAAGGTTGCCTTGATTCATCGATGATCACTCGCTCCAGTTTTTAGAGGGAGGAGAGTTCTTGTTCCTCCCCCCTCGCAAGTCAAGTCACTCTATATTCCACTGCTCGAGTGAAAGAACATCTGATCGGAGCTCATATTTTTTACCTTTTTATTATTACTCGATTCTTCTTCTTCTTCTTATTCTCCCAGCAGCAACCACACACACAAATACTCTTGCTTTGAATGTCCATCTACATTTATTCGGGACGTCCTGTGCGAGGCAGTATAGTTTCCTCTCGTGCTTGCGCGCTCGCATTCCATCCTTTCCAGGGCTTGGTTTTGTTTATCATCTCCAAGACACACTGGTGCCAAGACTAAAGACCATGCTACGTTGATTACGAGGAGTACACAAGCGAGCGCCGAGAAGGGGGCAGCACCAGTCCGGCTGCAGTGGTTTCTTCCCATTCTTTTCTTTTTTTCTTTCCTTGGCCAGCAGCATTGGCAGGAACTCTCTCGTCATTCATTGTTCTTCCTCGTTTTGGTGTGTCCCTACAGTAACTCTTTTCTTCTTCTTCTTCCATTCAATCTCTCTCTCGCTCTCGCTCTCGTCTTGGATCAATGTATAAATCTTCCGGGCCTCTGATCACACAGCCAGTAGTACATTGGTGGAGTAAAGACGGTGGGTGTCTCGGCTGGATGGATGAAACCATATAGATTTCTTTTTCTCGCAGTCAAGCAGCACGCCTTTGTCCAAAAGAAGAAGCCTTGGACTTGGAGTGGCCAGTCAAAGCCCGAGTCAAAGCCGCTGGAGCTCGGGTATCGCGGGATTGATCTCTCTCTCTCTCTCTCTCTCTCTCTCCTCTCTCTCTCCCTCTCTCTCTCTGGGCTTGGTGGCGGTAAGAAAGAGCTATACGACCACAGGTGATTCGTTTCCTCGCAAAGCGTCAGCTCAAAAGCACGGATGAAACAGAAAGTCTCGAGCAGTTTTTAACAGATTGGAGAAAAAAGAAAGGAAAAAAACATTGTATAAACCATCTCTCCACAAACAGCACATCCCCAAGATCCAAGCCTAGTCTCCGGGAGGGAATGTAGCTGGAGTTCTTCTTCACCCAAGGGAGTTCTTCAGTTTGAAGGGACGGTAGTGGGATTGATATAATAAGCAGCTATGAAACGATCGTTTTGGAGCTTAGAGCATTGCTGCAGTAGAAGAAGAGGAGGAGCTCGCAGTTTAGTCTACTTGGTACTTGCCATCCTCCTCGCTTCAAGATGCTTGCACTCATCCAGCGCTGGCAGAACTCAAGCGGAGCGACTGAGTACCGGTACGTTATAATACTTTCCTTGGTTTTCTTGCTCTTCGCTTGTGTCCTGTGGCTCTCCAAATCTATGCTGCGAGTGAAAGTAATCCCCACGAAGAAGAGTGAGAGAGTGAGAGGAATTGACTCACGGAAAGAAGCTCGCTTTAAACTTAAAACTTCGATTGGATGAATGAATGCGTGCTCGATCTCGCATGATTTGCTTGCTGCATAGACCTGGATATAGATCGATAGATAGATAGATAGATTTATTACCCATGGATGGTTTTGCGTGAGCTCCACAAACGTCCTCCTTGCGCTGTCCCTGTCCTCGAACACGACAGCTTCCAAAAATTCTTAAACCCGGCCAGGCCTTTACTAATTATCAAATCTTTCAAATCTGCAGGTGTCCATGAAAGCAAAGACGCAGCTTTATCACTGTCCACAAAACGGCAGCAGCTCGATCAGGTACTGCAAAAAATTTCTCTCCTTTTCTCCCATCTGTAGTCTTAGAAATGATACTTATGCAAATGATAATTTCTATCAGATGGGCGATGATCAACAAAGTGCGGATCAACAAAGCTGGGTAGCCGATTACTCGCCCTTGCAATTGGAGGAGCTTCGATCCAGCAGCAGCCTGGTGAGGAGGAGCTTGAGCGGGCCTGGATCGTCGCCACCCCAATGTACGTCAAAGTGTGGGAGATGCTATCCTTGCAGGCCTGTTCATGTTCCAATCCAGCCGGGTCTCGTCAAGACCGCCGAGTACTACCCCGAGGCTTGGCGGTGCAAGTGTGGCAACAAGTTGTTCATGCCATGATCAGTAACATCATCGCCAGGTGATCATACACTTCGAAGTCATCCTCGCTCTCCTTTCTCCCCTCTCACACGTTTTTGGTCTTGAGATCACTCCGAGCATCGAGAGTTTTAGCACTTGGTTGTCGTGAAACCGTGCTTTTTTTTCCTTTTTCTTCGAGCTAGCTAGTTCCAGCAATATATAAGAAAGCGAAGAGATTGTATTAGAAAAGAGTTACATCAGTGAGGAACAACCGCCACAAAATCCAGCAAGAGATTTGAATAACTTGGCCAACTTGTTGATACATTAGACTTATCTAAATAAGAACATGACTTGGACAACGAATCCTTCAAAGTCAACCATAGCCGACGAAAGATAAGACCATGGAATGTGTACCCTAGATGAGCAGAATGGCGCCGCCTCATGTTTTAGCGTTTCCATTCCCTGCCCAAGGTCACATTAATCCGATGATACTGCTGTGCCGCAAGCTCGCTTCAATGGGATTCATTATAACCTTCATCAACACTCGCAGCCGCCACGAGCAGGAGTTCAAGAAATCCACTGCCGTGGGGGATGATTCTTTCAGGTATGAGCCCAAGTTTCCTTAGCGAGGAGACTTATAGCTCGCCTACAGGTTTGTGAGCATTCCAGACGATTGTCTCCCAAAGCACCGGCTGGGGAACAACCTCCAGATGTTTCTCAATGCCATGGAGGGGATGAAACAAGATCTGGAGCAATTGGTGACGGACATGGCTAGCGATCCCCGCCGCCCTCCAGTGACTTGCGTACTCTTTGATGCGTTTATTGGGTGGAGCCAGGAATTCTGTCACAACCTTGGAATCGCTCGGGCACTACTGTGGACGTCGTCCGCTGCCTGTCTTCTCCTTTGCTTCCACTTGCCTTTGCTCAAGCACCTCTTACCAGCAAAAGGTCCTCCTCTAAGCTACTTTTTGCCTTTTTCTCTTTTTTCATTTTTACGTTCTTATTGTAGGGAGGAAAGATATAATAGATTTCATGCCTGGGCTTCCTTCTTTTTGCGCAAGTCACCTCCCGAGCACACTCCAGCACGAGGACGAGTGTGATCCAGGCTTTGAACTCCGAATCCAACGCTTTGAAAGGATGAAAGGTGACGTTTGGGTGTTTGTGAATTCCTTCCAGGAGATGGAAGAAGCACCCTTGGATGCTGCCCGAGACGTGAATCCAAATTGTATTGCGGTTGGGCCCTTGCACTTTGACGACACGGTGGAGGAGACACAATTGAGCATATCTCCGATCGAAGACACGAGCTGTTTGGAGTGGCTGGACAAACAGGCACCAAGCTCGGTCGTCTACGTTTCCTTCGGAAGCGTCGCAACCATCTCTTACAGTGACGCTCAGCAGATTTACAAGGGACTTGCCAACAGCGGCCACGCATTCTTGTGGGTGATCAGGCTCGATCTTCTCCAAGGCAGTGACGAGCAGGCAAGGAACGAGTTCTTGGCCAGGATACAGCAGAACGAAAAGGGGCTGATAATCTCTTGGGCTCCTCAAGTCAAGGTATGATCTAGATATTCACTTCATGGGTTGATAGTTTTTCGCACAATCAATCGCAGGTGCTGGAGCATGAATCCGTGGGTGCTTTCCTCTCTCATTGCGGATGGAACTCGACACTCGAGTCTTTGTCCGCGGGAGTTCCCATCCTATGCTTGCCTTGCTTTGCCGAGCAAGTTTTCAACACTGCGTGGGTTGTTGACACTCTCAAAGTTGGAGTTCGCATCAAGAAGGCCATGGAGGCTGGTATCCATGCAAGCCATGTCGAGGATATGGTGAGGTTTGTCATGGGACGAGACCATTGCAGCGGCGACGAGCTGAGACGTAGAGCCAAAGAGTTGCGCCATGCAGCCAAACGAAACGTCCAGCCAAATGGTTCTTCGCATGCAAACCTCGTCAACTTTGCTAAAGCATTGAAACTCCACTGTGACCTATAACGCATGGGATGACCTCACCTTGTTTCCTACTTGGGCACATGGTCTTAGACTTTACTTGGAGGATTCCATCCAAGTTAGAACAAAGGACTTTGGACGTTCTTGATATGATTGCATTGCAACGACGCTCACAAGATTTGTAAACTTGGGACATTCTTCTCGCCAGTTAGAATGCTGGAATCGATAGCTAAAACTCTGCCAAGCTAGTAACTTTGGCTATGACACAACGAACTCAGTCCGCATAGCTGATCTGCATCTGGCTACAACACAATCCGTGCAGTGGGGCTTGTTGCTGAGGCAATTCGAGCATGCTCAGCAATGGAGCCGGAGATCCTAGCCTTTTTCTCGGACTCCAATGACTTCAACACGCTGTTCCAGCAGCTAGAACAGTCATCGCCATCGTTGCGATGCTTCACTGCCGCTGTCTCTGGATCCTTTTACGAGCGTTCAAGCTCATTCCTTCGATCTAAATCTTCCTTCAATGGGCATTTGTCTTCTCTCCAGACTCCAGAGAGTGATCTGTGTGGTCCATTCAATGAACCCAAGCTCATGAGGATCTTTGCGGGTTCTTATCCTGCCGAGCACAAGCGATTGTTCCTGGAGGAATCCTCTGCTTGTTCTCACGGATGCACCAGCCCGAGTTCACGTCCTTCGAGAACTGGCATGTTTCACGCTTGGAGCTGGCATGGAACGATATGCTCGAAGAGGTACGCATACAGTTTCTGGAATGATCAAAGCCATGGCGAGAAGGTTAAACTTGTTTCACGGCAGGAACTGATTAACCGCAAAACTCATGCTACGTTCCGCATGGCTTGGTTTTCCAGGACCATTGACGAGGTGGTAAAAGCAAATGCGGAGACCGGGGAATCATTCGCGATCCTCACACTTGAGCAGGGCAAGTGTTCAGTGCCAACAATTTCCAACGGTCTAAGCCTCCAAAGCTATGTTGCTGCTGAAGTTTCCTCCTGCAAGAACATTACTGAGGGATCCATCTCGCGGCATCTCAGAAACAATGGCGACCTGGTAACGATTTTTACAACTCTATGTAAGATTCATCCCGGGAGTCCATCAGACATTCCACCTCACGTTAATCTTTCTATGCCATTCGTGATCCTCCAGCCACAAACTAATGAAGTATATGATGAACGTAAATAACATCCCCACCCCACCTTAGAATTATAATGTTCTTTCTTTGGTTTTCTAGAGTGCTTGTTCTTCAATTGTGTGGTGGCTAAGGAAGAAGGGAGAAAAATTCATCAAGTTGACTCACCGAAGAAGCTCGCTTTTCCTCCATTAAAGCTTAAAACCTTCTTGCCTCGGGCACTGTAAGCTTGAACACCTCTTCACTTGGCGCACATCGCTCAGCACATCTTATATTATACTAGTGTAAAAGGGTTAGTACTACATTAAATTAAACTTTTAAAGTTAATTTCCACAAAAATCATGGACAGATACAAAAATTCCCAACTGCAATCTCCTGTTGGTCTTGATCCCCTACAGGATTTCAACTATCGTCTAGGCGAAAGAGTCCGTTACAAGTGGCAGTGGCAGCATTGGATCTAATGCCTTGGGGTTTTGACATTGGGCTTGGCCTGGATCTCAGTGACTTGTTTGTTGTGTAGACACCCATATTTGTAGTTTGTGACGAGGATCAGGTATGTCATTTTTTTTCTAGATGATTCAGATCTCCAATTTTTTTTTCCTTTTAAAGCAGACGTCCTCGTGTGACAGTGATCCCTGTTAGGGAGAGAAGGAAATGAGTTAGAGGAGTCGTGATGCACAAGAAGAGTGTTTTCAGGAGTTAATGCGGCTTGGGAGACCAAGAATCGGCATCTGCTGCAGTGCGACAGCACTAGGAGCTGGGCTGCATCATTCCAAGCTGGAGATCGGGCCATATTGGAGCTGGGCACGCCCAGGACAGCTAGAGGTGGGAAGTCTGACGAAGAATGGTACCTTTCCGCTGCTGCCATGTGGATAAGTCCTAGCTTTGACTTTTTGCCCGACCCTAGGAGGCACAAGCACTTTGGATGCCGCTTCCATAGCCAATTGCAAGTCCTTTGCAGATTCTCACAAACACAACCAAAGTTGCCAGGTACAGAAACACTGTGTTTCCATGACCGATTGCAAGATTTACTAAGATTCCTCTCCAACTGAACTATAGGATGGAAGGACTCTAAAAACATTGCATAGACTCAAATCTCGGGAACATTATGTAGCTATAGCCAATTATGAGCCACAAAAATTCTTCACTTCTCACTCAAAGGAAACCTTCTCTATGAAATCTAAGAGCCAATGCTTGCAATTGTCCAAGTGCCCTTAAACTTCAAACTCTTGCTTTTTATACTCTCAAGCATGAGATTCCTCCATGCTACTTGATGATGCTCTATTCCTACATCTGGATCTCCCAATGTATTGAAACATTATCTAACTCCTCACTAGGCATGTATATCCTTATTTTGCATTTGGTTTGGGTTTAAGCCCAAGTTTCATATTACATGTTGCCATATATTCCCATTTATATCTATTCTCTATATTAATAGTCATACACAGGGATGAAGTGGACTAAATTCAAAATTTACTAGCTAAGAGTAAATTTATCATTCAACTTCTTAATGTATATTCAATTAGCCTAAACCCTAACTTATATATAAGAGTAAGTGATCTTGATTAAAACCAATCTACATTTTTGTAAGTTACAATTGAATTTTGGCTATGGGATTAATTAGCAATTGCTTCACAATGATAAGTGATACAGAGAGTTAATGATTCTATACTAGTAACATTAGTCAACTAGACTTATCATGTTACTAATTTATATATATAAATTTTTGCTCTTTTATTCCCTTTTTAGATCCTTTAGACAAGGTGGTAGTTGACTAACTCAAAAATGAGTATACTATTATTTTGTACCTTTAACTTATCATCTAAGGCAAAGATTATAGTATGTTATTTTATTCTAACTAGAGATGATTGTCCAATTAAGGTTTATGTTTAACATTGGTTGTCAAAGGAGATCAAAATCTTATATAAAAATATTAAGAATATGTTGGAAAAGAGTGTTATCCAAAATTCTTAGAGTCCTTAAGCATATGAACTTTATCTTGTGATAAAGCCTGATAAGAGTATTTGATTCTATATTAACTATTATCTATTAACAATGTAATTATCCATATATGTACACTCTTTCTCATATTATCGATTCTAGATCATTTAAAAAGAAGTTGTTGGTTCACAAAATTAGTTCTTGCTTCTAGTTACTAACAAGTGCCAATGGCCAAAATAATTTTTTTAAGACAATTTTCCATACACTATTTAGTTTCAAGAAAATTCAAAATCTATTGGCTAAAAGTAAATTTATCATTCAACTAAAAATTATTATTAAATATGAGTGCATATTCAATTAGCCTAAACCCTAACTTATATATAAGAGTAAGTGATATTGATTAAAACCAATTTGACAACTATCAAAATCCCATTACATTAATAATAGCATATGACTCATATCATCTCCTCCACTCTGGAGGATGGAATGCAACTAAGGTTTTTTTGTTAATGGGATATCAATTTAGTATCAACAACTCATAGTAATCATAAAAGTAAACTCAACTCTATTGACAATATAAGTTTGTTATATATATAAGTTTATATAGTGAAGCATTAATAAAACTCTATACCCCATAACATATATATATTAAAAATATGGTAAATAACCATCCTAATCTGTATTGAAAGTTCATATACTTTGTGATCATCCTCATGAAGGGATAGAATGAACTGTTCCACCAAACCATCTATATATAAATGATAAGCACTTATGAAAGTGTGGCATATCCCCAATTAAAATATCAATATATAAAATAACTCACCCATAAATGTATGACCATTGTCCAAGTGAATCCATTCCAAAAACAAATGTCTTAATTGATAATGAAGTATCTAATAATAGTTGCAAACACACTAGTAAGACCTTCGACTTCCACCTATTGAGTCAAGTAAAGAAGCAATAATGACATACTCTTGTCAATAGTCAATTGGAAAAAATTGTTTCACATCAAACACTACCAATAAAAATAAATGAGAATTTACAATTGACTCCAATTATCTTTTTGCAACATAAAGAGGAAGTATTATGTGTTTTGCATTAGATGCAACTATGTATGTACTAAATGATATTATATTACATCTTTGGACTTACACAACTTTTTAGCTATGTAACACTATCACATGTACCCACCTAAAAAAAGAGTCATGGTAAACATAGAGAAAATTTAGAATAAAATCAAAGGCACCACTAATCACAAATGGTTATTAAAATCAGTTATCACAAAGTAAAAAAGGTAGTCTTCAAAGTAATATTGAAAATGCAAATGCTAGGAAAGCAAGTTATTAATAAATGATGTAGGATTCTCAAACCCATCATAAAACTTTCGGATCCATAACTTAAATTTTTGAGCTTCATAAAACTTGATATGAAAAGATAAATCTAGTTTTGCACCTTATGAATATTCCATATCAAGCATAACAACTACAGATGATATAGAATCCTTGTCCAGAAAATTTACTGATGCCAAAATAACAAACTTATCAAGAATATAATAAAAGAGTAAAGAAGAAAGAGGAGCTTAAAAAATGGTGTTAGCATTAGTTATAAAACTCCTTGTGTAATAAACAACCTCAAAGTTATATATTTAAAGTTTTAAAGCCCATTAAACAATATAGCTAACTATGTTTTTCTGCTTCAATAATAAAGTAATTATAACATAATCACCCTTTTGCAACATCTAAGAGCCATGCAAGTACATATACCTAAACACTCATCTATTATAGAGTAATTTACCTTTGCTAATAGTAATATATAGTTGATATATGTAATGAAATGATATTGACTATACACACTTGTATAGTGTGTTTCTTGCATTAACACACCTCCAAAACCAATATCAAAAGCATCTATATACATAATAAAAAGTCAAGTATAATTAAGATAGGAGAAGTTATCAACATTTATTTGAGATCTACAAATGCCCATTTGCAATCTTTAAATTATAAGAAAGACAATGTTAATAAATTTAATAACACTTGCAATAGTGTAATATAATCAAAAAGATGGTCAACAA